TCTTGGGCCTCTTGGGCGATCTTTGGGGGCACTTGGGCCGTGTCGGGCCGTCGGAAGGCCGAACAAAAGAAAATGCCACAATCCTTCAAAAACTCATTGGATTTTTGCCTTTTCGGCCCTTCCTGGAGGCCCTCTTGGAGGCCTCTTGGGCCGTCTTGGGCCATCTTAGAGCCATCTTCGGCCGCTTTGGTTGGCTCCTGGCCCGTCCGACGCCGGCGGAAGCCGTTTAGGGGGCCCCTCTGGGCCGACTTGGGGCCCTCTTGGAATGCTCCAGGGCCGTCTTGGAGGCCATCTTGGGCGTCTTGGAGGCCTCTTGGGCCGTCTTGGGGGCCGTCTTGGGGGCCACTTGGGCCGTTCTGGGGCCATCTTTGAGGCCTCTTGGGCGATCTTTGTGCAAACTTTGGGGGCTCTTGGGCCGTATCGGGCCTTCGAATGGCCGAAAGGAAGCAGATGTCAAAATCCTTCAAGAACCTAAGAAACATACATGTTTTTGGCCTTTTCTGGCCTTCCTGGAGGCCCTCTTGACGGCCTCTTGGGCCGTCTTGGGCCAGCTTCGAGCCAACTTCGGCCATCTTGGTGGGCCGTCGGAAGCTGTTTGGGGGGCCTCTCTAGGCCGACTTGGGGCCCTCCTGGGGTGCTCCAGGGCCGTCTTAGAGGCCATCTTGGGCGTCTTGGAGGCCTCTTGGGTCGTCTTGGTGCCCTCTTAGGGCCGTCTTGGGGGCCTCTTGGGCAGTCCTGAGGCCATCTTGGAGGCGTCGTGGGCGATCTTGAGGCGATCTTCGGGTCCTCTTGGACCGTCTTGAGCCGTCGGAATGCTGAGAAGAAGCAAATGCCCAAATCCTTCGAAGCCCAAAGGAAAATCAAGGATTTTGGCCTCTTCGGGCACTCCTGGAGGACCTCTTGGAGGCCTCTTAGGCCGTCTTGGGCCGTCTTGGAGGCTTCTTGGGCGAACTTGGAGGTATCTCGGACCTTCTTGGGCCGTTTGGGAGGCCATCTTGGACCATTGTGGGCGAGCTTGAGGGCCATCTTGGTCGTCTTGGAGGCCATCTTGAGCCGTCTTGGAGAATTTTTTGCGGACGTTGAGGTCGTTTCCGGTCCTGGAAGAGCCTTCCGGACCCTGGCGGGACGGGCCGAAGCCCCAGGGGGAGTTCTTTTGGAAAAAGAACCAAAACCAACACCGAAATAATCTAGCACGCCAGGCACCCCTGCGATGAATCGACAGGGAGCGGCGGATCGAAGACGCCTACGGCGAATCACTGCCGCTCCCTGCCTTTTTGGAAGCGCCTATGTGGCCGAACGTTGAGGCCAGACCTGCCAAGCTATCGGACCATGTGTTCCCCGAATCGGTTTGGAAAGCCTTCGGGGAACACGTGTGCATCTTGCATGTCATCTTGGCCGTTTGGAGGCCATTTTGACCTTTTCGGGCCTTCTTGGAGGACGTCTCGGAGGGCTCTTGGGCCGTCTTGGAGGCCATCTTGAGCGTCTTGGAGACCTCTTGGGCCGTCTTGGGGGCCTCTTGGGGCCGTGTCTTGGGCTTCTTGGGCAATCTTTGGGGGCACTTGAGCCGTCTCGGGCCGTCGGAAGGCAGAAGAAAAGCAAATGCCACAATCCTTCAAGAACCCATGGGAAATCAAGGATTTTGGCCTTTTCGGGCCTTCCTGGAGGCCCTCTTGAAAGTGACGACAGTTACAGGAGGCTGATGGCCCGCCTCGGATTAAAAACATGAGCCGCGGGCCTCATAGGGGGGGGGCTCCCGCCTGAGATTTCCTCGCAAGCCACTCACAGACGAGTCTCGCCTGATACATCACCCATATTAATGCGTCAGGAGCCCAAAAGTGACGACAGTTGCAGGAGGCCGATGCTGCTCGGATTACTCACGTGGGCTGCGGGCCCCACAGGAATGGGGGCTCCCGCCTGACATTTCTTCGCCATTCACTCGCGGACGAGGCTCTCGCCTGATACGGTAGAGGGAAACAATTACTGAACACTCCCCCTCCCCCTCAACCTCAATGTTGGCACGCGCGGGGGAGACCGCGGCCGAAGTGCATCTCGTCAGACCCACCGCCAACTTTGAACATTGGGGGGGAGGGGGGGCCGTTGACAGATGAATGTGGCATGAGTGTTCGCTAATTTGTTCCGAGGCCTGATACTACGTCATATGCAGGCCTCAGGGGCCCAGATCTGATGGCACTTGCAGGAGGCCGATGACCCGCTCAGATACCTGGCGTGAGCTGCGGGCTCCATAGGGGAGGGGGGGGGCTCCCGCCTGCGGCTTCCTCGCAGTCTGCTCGCAGACGGAGCTCCCGCCTGATACTGATCAGGAGGGCAAAAACACACAGACACAATTAATCGTCGATTCCCCAGAAAATATGGGGAAATATGGGAAGGGGTGGGGAAGACAAAAACCCAGAAAATATGGGAAACTATGGGGAGCATTTTTATTTGTGTGTATTTATTTGTGTGTCCCAGGGCCCCTTCAATTTAGTCCATATTCAGGCCTCGGGGGCCCAAAAGTGACGACAGTTGCAGGAGGCCGACGACCCCTTCGGACTGCTCATACGAACTGCAGGCCCCGTAGGGAGGGGGCTCCTTCCTGAGACTTCCTCGCAATTCACTCACAGACGAGGCTCCCGCTTGATGTGTCCTCCATATTCAGGCTTCAGGGGCCCCACAGTGACGACAGTCGCGGGAGGCCGATGTTCCGTTCGGATTACTCTTATGGGCTGCGGGCCCCAGAGGGAGGGGGCTCCCACCTGACATTTTTTCGCAAGTCACTCGCAGACGAGGCTCCCACCTGATACGTCCTCAACATGAAACGTGTGCGCGCGTGAGTGATGCTGGTGTGAGTGATAATGACGATGTGGGTGATGATGATGCTCGTGATATGAGTAGTGATGATGATGACGATGTGAGTGGTGATGACGATGAGGGTGGTTGTGATGATGGTGTGAATCATTTAATGAATGATGATGGTAATGATGTAGGGAATAGGGATGAGGAGGCTGGTGGTGTTATGATGGTGATGGTGTGTGACTCGCGAGTGAATGTGCGAAAGGAGTGGAGCTCATGAGGTCTGTGCCGATTCATTGAGTGAGTGAGCGAAGACGATGATGTTGCGGACGATGAAGTGTGTGAAAAAATGGGTGGTTGGTGGTGAGTGAGTGTGTGAGTAAAGGAGTGATGGTTCTGAGTGAATGTGAGTGTGTGAATGACTGAGTGAGTCTTTAAGTGATGCTGATGATGATGTGGGGGTGGTGGTGGTGGTGGTGGTGGTGATGGTGATGGTGATGGTGATGATGATGATGATGATGATGATGATGATCATGATGATGATGATGATGATGATGATGATGACGATGATGATGATGATGATGATGATGATGATGATGATGACGATGCTGCTGATGATGATGATGATGATGATGATGATGAGGATGATGATGATGTGAGTGTGCGTGTGTGTGAGAGTGAGTGAGTGAGTGAGTGAGTGAGTGAGTGAGTGTGTATGTGATGAGTGAGTGAGTGAGAAGAGAGGGTTTGTTCCTGTGTGTTCCTGCGCGGGATGTCCAGAGAAAACAAGACACCCCTTTTTGGATGTGGGAATCAATGAATTTGGCCTCTTGCGACCCTCTGGGGAGTGCTCTTGGCGGCTTCTTGAGGGCGTCCTGGAGGCCTCCTGGGCAGTCTGCAGGGCGTGAAGTCCTTTTGGACCGATCGTCTGGCGATTGGAGAGCCCTCTTGGACCGTCTCGGGTGCCTTTAGGGGCTCTCTTGGCTTGTCCGCCCCCCCCCCTGGACGGGGGAGGGATGAAAAGAAGGGGCTCGCCCTCGACTCGATTACGACATTGCTGGCCGATTTTTCGCTCTCGCTGACAAGCTTGAGGAGGATGCAGGGACAGGGAAGGACGCAGACGACGACTGCGGAGACTACATTTCGAGCGGATCAGCTCCTCATGCGCCGACAGGGTCGGCGGATTTACAAAACTCAAGGCAGAGAACTCGAAGGAACCTGAGGACACTCAAACTCGTGCCTCAGCGCACGGTGGCGGCTGTATATAGGATGCTGCTGCTGCTGCTGATCATGATGCTGCTGCTGCTGCTGATGATGATGCCGATGATGATGATGATGATGATGATGATGATGATGATGATGATGATGATGATGATGATGATGATGATGATGATGATAATACTGATAATGATCATGATGATGAGGATGATGATGATGATGGTGTTAAGGATGCTGATGCTGCTGCTGATGATGATGATGATGGTGTTGGTGATGATGATGATGCTGATGATGACGCCGACGATGATGATGATGCTGGTGATGATGATGGTGATCATGGTGATGATGGTGATGCTGATGCCGCTGATAGTGACGATGATGCTGATGATGACGAAGTCGATTATGATGCTGATGATTATGATGGTGATGCTGATGACGATGCTGATTGTAACGATGATGACGATGCTGATGGTGATGATGATGATGATGCTGCTGCGGATGATTATGACGATGACGATGCTGATGTTGCTGCTGATGATGCTGATGATGATAACGATGATGATTGTGATGATGATGCTGATGCTGGTGCCGCTGCTGATGATGATGATGCTGATGCAGATGGTGCAGCTGATGACGATGATGCTGATGATGATGTTGTTGTTGATGATTCTGATGATTAGGATGTTGATGCTAAGGATGATGATTCTGATGATGCTTCTGATGGTGATGGTGATGCTGATGCTGATGCTGATGATGATGACGATGATGAAGAATAACACGGACAACAATACTGATATTGACGATGATGCGCAGCACGGTTTCAAAACAGGAGGATACATTTTGCCATGAGGTTTGTTCTACGTCGCGCATTCATAACACGTATTTCAGAGTTTCCCTAGCTAGTCGATGAAGGCGCCATCTCTAATCATAGAAAGGATCAGAGGAAGGAGGAGGTACGTGAATACTCAGTCAAGCTGCAGTCTCCAGCTCAGGTTGGTAATTTCAAGGACTTCCTGCTCGGTACTCTGGATCTCGAGAAGCTGGCCGCTACGGACACGGTCTCAAGGCAAAGCCGAGGGAGGGAGGCAGGGAGGGAAGGATGGAGGAGGGATTGAGTGAGCGAAGGACTTAGAGAGGAGTAATTGATGCAGGAGTGCATCTCAGGAGCCGGGATGGGATAATGACGAACATGCAGAGGATTTGATAGTTTTTGGGACGATGTCAAGAAATGGTGGAGATGTAGTCGTAGGCTTGGGCAGGGAACTCTCCATGTGCCCTTCCTGGCATTCCTCTTTCTTCTCCTCTTTATCCTGTCCCCCCGTCTCTTCCCCGTTGCGTCTCTTCTCCTTCATCCTCCCTCCTCATCCTTTCTCCCCTCCCATCGTGCCCCTCCTGCCCCCTTCCCTTCCTCCTCTCTTCTCCCCCTGACGACTTCGTCATCATCTTGAGGGGCCACGGCCCCACCGCCGACGCCTTCAAGGCCCACGGCCGCGCGCCGGTGCGGCTGGGCGTTTCGGCGCTCGCCCCTCTTCTCCCCTCGGTCTCGCTTCCTCATACAGTCAACCATGATAGCAAGAATGGGGCAACTTTCCAAGGCTACCCTCGCATCCTCGCCCCTTCGGTATTCGGCATCCTTCGGCATTCTGCCGCGCTCCGCACGGAAAACGTCAACATGGCGTTCCAAGGCCCCTGCATCCCTACCGCGCATCCTTACTATCCTGGCCGAGCGTGCTCCTATCTTTCTCCTTCCACCTCCGTCATCGCAGCGGCGCGCACTGGCGGTGCCGCTGTCGTGCACACCGCACTCGTCGCCGGCGGCCCGCCAGCTGGGAGTATATAGGCCCGGAAGGAGCGCGCACCCGCCGCCTCCCCCGCGATCCTCGCGCCTCGTCGCCCTCCTTCTAACCTTGGGCACCGCTCGGGCGCGTGCGCTTCTTTCTTCTCGGCGAGGGCCACCTCGGCGAGGAGCCTCTCGGCGAGGAGCCTCTCGGCGAGGAGCCTCTCGGCGAGGAGCCTCTCGGCGAGGAGCACCTTCTCTTCTCTCCTCTCGGCGAGGCGTAGCGAGGAGCATATCTCGGCCCACCTCGCGAGGCAGCGCGACGCACGAGGCCTCCACGTGTGATGCACGGGGAGGGTGGGCGTGCGAGCGACATGGAGCGCCGCCGTCGGACCGGTTGTGTGAGGTCGAGGCCGCTTCGGGGAGGGCGCCCTGGCGCTCCTCGCGTTTGCCGGCTGCTCTCGCTGCCCCTCGTGGTGTCCTCCGTGCTTCGGGGAGGGTGCCCCTTGGGATGTCGTGCTCGCTCTGGCCGACGGAGGGCCTCCTGTTCTTGAAGGATGCTCTCCTGGCATCCCGGGGAGGGTGCCCCTTTGGATGTCGTGCTCGTTCTGGCCGACGGAGGGTCTCATGCTCTTGCAGGATGTTCTCCTGGCATCCCAGGGAGGGTGCCCTTGGATGTCGTGCTTGTTCTGGCCGACGGAGGGTCTCCTGTTCTTGAAGGATGCTCTCCTGGCATCCCAGGGAGGGTGCCCTTGGATGTCGTGCTTGTTCTGGCCGACGGAGGGTCGCATGCTCTTGCAGGATGTTCTCCTGGCATCCCAGGGAGGGTGCCCTTGGATGCTGTGCTTGTTCTGGCCGACGGAGGGTCTCTTGTTCTTGCAGGATGCTCTCCTAGCGCAGGTCCACTCAGCTGTGCCGGAGGTCTCGGGCCTCGATCCCCCCACCAACCCCCGCCTTCCTCCCGCCTGCTCCCCCCGAGACCCTCCCTCGGGACCGCCTGCCAGCAGCCGCCTGGGACCCGCTCCCGCGAGGGAGAGAGAGAGAGAGAGAGTCGGAAGAAACCGACGATGACGGCGACGCGCGAACCTGCCACCTCCCCCTCGATCCGCGATCCTCGATCCTCGTCGGTCTCCTAAGCTTGGCACCGCTCGGACGTGTGCGTTGCCTCCCTCGGCGAGGACCATCGGGGAGCACCCCGGAGCACCTCGCGAAGCAGGCAGAGCAGCGCACGACACCGAAGCAACGCATGGCGCGGGCGTCCGAGCGCTGGCAGGTGGCGGCAGGCTCGCGTCGTGTCGACGGGCGGCGACCCCGCCGCCGGCGCTCCACGTCGAGCGCCGCCGGCGACCCAGAAGCGGTCGCTGCCGAACGACCTGACGTTTCGGAAACGGCCGATCCTCCAAGGTGGAGCGATCCCCGCGGGGTGCGGAGCCTATGCCGAAGTCGATGCGGCACGAGCCTGCCGTGCCGGAGGCCTCGGGCCTCGGTCTGCGCCTCCTCCCCCGACCTCCCCCGCCTGCGCCCTGGGGCCCTCCGTCGGGACCCCTTGCCGGCGGTCGCCCAGGACCCCCTCCCGAGAGGCAGACAGAGGGAGAGGCTTCGGATATCAGTTAAGTAGGGCCGAGTGTGAGAGAGCGCCTTCCTCTGTAGGACCACCAAAAATGAGACGTCAAGGTGGTCAAAGGCCTCGCTGGTTAAGCCGACGAAGATGCGCAACATCCAGCCATGCGCTTCGCAGCATGGCCAAAGTTTTGGGTGGACGCCGGGTGCGGTGCATCAGTTTCACCTTCACCGAACAGGTTGGTTTCGGCCCTTGACGTCCGCTTGGGGTGTTCTGCAGACCAGACCCCCCAGCCCTATTCAAGATATAAGATCGTGCTTGACGTGCTGAGCCTAGGGGCTCGGGCGCCGCGCCCGAGTTTGCCTGATCGCCGGCTGTCACCGCCTGCCTGGGCTGGCGGCCGGCCCCCTGAGGCCAAGATGGCTTCTCCGGGGCGCCCAAGCGTCAGGCCCCGGGCCCCCCGTCATCAGTCCCGCCTCGAGGGCGCCCTCGAGGGCGCGAAGTTCTCCGCGCTCCTAGGGGGCCACATGCGAACCCTACCCCTACCCCCCACGATTTCTGAGGGTGAGGGTGGGGTTCACTTCGCCCGAGAGCTCCCGAGCGAAGTGAACCCCACCCTCCCCCTCAGAAATCGTGGGGGGTAGGGGTAGGGTTCGCATGTGGCCCCCGAGCTCCGCGCTTCGCGGTTCGGCTCCGAGTCCTCCCTCGTCTTCCACTCGGCGCACAGCGCCATCGCAAGCGCGCGTGCGCTGTGCGCGGGCACCACTTCGCCCCCGCACTTGGCCCGCGCGCAGGCGGGCGAGCTTTGCGCACGGGACGCCTCCCGCTATCCTGCGCCTCGCGGCGCGCGGCCCCACGCGAAGGGCTCGCGCTCGCGAGGCGGGGGGGGGCAACGTCATGTGCATCGCCGCGCGCTGCCCCGCAAGAAGGGCCCGCGCGTTCGGGGTAACGGCATGCACTTCGCTGTGCGCGGCCCCGCGTGAAGGGCTCGCGCGCGCGGGGCGTGGGCACGCCGCGCGCGCGGGTTTTCGCCGCTTGCTCTTCTGCGTGTTTGGCGGTGCGCGCTCTGTGCTGGCGCGCTGCGGGGATCCCGTCTGTGCGGTTCGCGGCGCGCATCGGGGTCGCGCGGGTTGCAGGCTTTGGCGCTCGCATCCTGCAGCCATCGGCGCTTGCGTCCTGCCGTCGCGGACGACGCGCGCGCATGTTTTCGCCCCACCATTGTGCTCTTGGGGGTACTTGCATCCTTGGCGCCCCGCGCGTCGGCTCACATTGGCACCGCCAGGTTGGGCGGCGCGAGGGGTGCCGCACCCGTTGTCAAGAGGGTGCGGGCACCTGCGGGTGCCGGGGGCTGATGGCGCAGCTGTCATCTGTGCCCCTGCGGGGCGGCGCGAAAGAGTGGAAGTTCTTCGCGCTTTGCGCTCTCGCGCGTCGCGCCTCGCGCACTCGCCCTCGCCCCTTGCCCTCGCCCCTTGCCGTGGGGGAGGCCCCAGTGTTATGTTGCTCCCATGTCGTACTTGGGGACCACATCCCAGACATAATTTCGAACAGAGTGTCGACACAGTGTCGAACGAGTGTCGCCTGTCAGGCCCGACGCGTGAGAACCCCCAGGCTTGGGTGCTTTCTTGGTGCTCGACATTCTTTCTGGTGATCAAGGCTGAAGTAATCTGGAATTCAGACGGCGAAAAGTCACCCCCACCCCAGTCCCGACTCCCATCCCCGAGCCGGCGACCCGAGGGGTCGGGACTGGGGGTGGGGGTGGGTTGTCTCCACTTGGGCCCCGAAAAGCCCCCCCCCCCCCCCCCCCCCCCCCCCCCCCCCCCCCTAGTCCCGACCCCTTGAATCGCCGGCTCGGGGATGGGAGTCGGGACTGGGGGTGGGCGTGACTTTTCGCCTTCCCAGGAACATCAGAGCCCCAGCGCTGGCAGGCCCTGGGGCGCCCGCTCGTCGTCGCCCCTCCCCCTCTGAGCCGCGTGCTGCCTCCGCCGCCCCCCCCCTCGGCTCCCCCGCGGCACGGGGCCGGCGTCCGCCCCAAGGCCGCCCGCGGAGCCCGCGCCGAGCAAGGGGAAGGGCAAGGGCAAGGCCGGCAGCGCGCGCCCCGTCCCGAGGGCACCGGGCCGTTGGCCTTTCCCCCCCCTCCCCCTTTTTTTGCTAGGGGAACAAAAAGTAACATAAACATAAAAACTAAGAGGTCCGCGCGGATTTTTCGCATCGGCGCTGGACCCCCCCTCCCTGGCGCGCGGAGCGCGCCAGGGGCGGCGCCGGAGGCGCCGCCGGGGGGCCCCAGCGCCGATCCGAGAAATCCGCGCGGACCTCCGAGTTTTTATGTTTATGTCACTATTTGTTCCCCTCTCCGCAGCTGCCGCCCCCCCCCCCCTACCTCCCCATTTGCAGCCCACCATTATGGGTGCCGCTCTCTCTCTCTCTCTATCTCCTCTCCCTCTCCCTTTCTGTCCTTGCCCTGGCACGGTGCTTTCGCGCTTCCGCCCTTCCCGCGTGCCCGCTTTGCTTGAAAAGCGGTTGGAGTAGTTGTTGCAAGTATGTCAGTGCTTATGACGGTGGGTACGTTCATGTATACATATGTGTAAGTGTAAATATGTCTTTGTGTAGGTGCATGCAGCTGTACATGTACACGTAAGCGCAATTCTTCGCAACGTGTGTGTGTGTCTGTGTAGGAAAGCGTATTTGCATTTGCTCATGTACATACGCACACATATATGCATACGCATATTTACATAATGTGCATTTGTATGTGTACATTTCGCACACTATATCGCCGCTTGCAGCCCACCATTATGAGTGCTGTTTTTATTTGTTTGTTCTCTCTCTCTCTCTCCTCTCCCTGCCTCTCTGTCCTTCCCCTCTCTGCAGCTGCCGCTCCCCCCCCTCTCTGCAGCTGCCGTTCCCCCCCCCCCCTTCCCCCCCGTTTGCAGCCCACCATTTATGAGTGCCGCTCTTTCTCTCTCTCTCTCTCTCCCTCTTTCGCTCTGTCCTTCCCCTGGCACAGTGCTTTCGCGCTTCCGCCCTTCCCGCGTGCCGGCTTTGCTTAAAAAGCGGTCGAAGTAGTTGTTGCAAGTATGTCTGTGTTTATGATTTTGCGTATGTTCGTGTATAACTAGGTGTAAATGTAAGTATGTCTTTGTGTAGGTGCATGCAGCTGTACATGTACATGTGAGCGCAATTCATCTCAACGTGTGCCTAGGAACGTATGTGCATTTACTTATGTACATACGCACACATATATGCATACGCGTATTTATATACTGTGCATCTGTGTGTATACACTTCGCACACTATATCGCCAGTTGCCTGCGGAACACCTCGCCGTCGTGCTCTTGCAGCAGCGTAGCAGGACATTTTTTTTTTTTTTTTTTTTTTTATTTTAAGTCTTAACGTTGCGCGTATCTCCACCAACCCATCCAGGAACAATGCCCAGGGGAGCTGCCTTTATCGGGGGAACGTGGCATCATTTGGAGAACTCGAAGAGCCTTCGTGGGCCACAGGCTTCGTGGATGCCTCTTGGAGTCTCTTGGGATGTCTCTCGGGTTTCTTGGAGGCCTCTTGGGGCGTCTTAGGGGCCTCCAGGCGGCTCTTGGGGGCCTCTTGTGGCGCCTTGTGGGCCTCTTGGAGGCCTCTTGGAGGCCTCTTGGAACGGCTTGGGGGCTTCTTGGCGGTCTTCAGAGCCTCTCTTGGGGGTTTCTTGGTCTCTCTTGAGGACCGCTTGGGGGTCGCTTGGGGGCCTCTTGGGGCCCTCTGTGGTCTCTTGGAGGCCTCTTGGGCCGACTTGGGGCTCTCTTGGGCGCCACTTGGTCTGTCTCGGAGCTATCGTGGAAGCCTCTTGGGCCATCTTGGGCGGTCGCAAGCCCAAACAGGTGAGAACTTCAACATGCTTCAAAAACCTAAGGAGCATCCGTGGTTTTTGACTCGTCGGGCTCTCCTGCAGGGCCCGTCTTCGAGGCCTCTTGGGCTGCCTTGAGACCGACCGTCTTGGGAGCCTCTTGAGTGGTCTTATTCTGGGCCGTCTTGATGTCGTGCTGGCTGTCTTGGCAGCCGTCAGGGCGATTTGATGGGGGGGCTCGCGACAGGGGGGGGCGGCCCTAGGAAACATTAAGAAACTTCACTATACAACAGAGGGGCATCACCAAAAGTCTTTGGTTGCATGCCTGGACCGTCTTGGAAGCTCGGCACGCGGACACATGATTCCCGGAAAGGGCCAGGGCCCAGATTTATCCCCGGGGACGACTTGTGTAGGGCCGGCGGAATTACTTGGGATGCATAACGAAGTGAAGCCACATCTTTTCCTCAAGAAGTGCGTGTCGCGCGAGCCCGCTCGAGGAACATGTGCGGTCCCCGATCAATCATGGGGTCCGCAGACGCCCGTTTTCCCTGATGGAAAAGCGGGGTGCGGAGCGTTTTGCGCAGAATCCGCGATCAAACGCGAGGTATGGAGACCCTCGAATTTTACAACACATATGGGGAAGTTGGCTTTTTGCGTGCTCGCTCGAGGATGGCGCGTCCCGCGCGTTCCGCGCGCAGGAATTTCGAGGATGTCTCGAGCCCCGCGCTCGTTTTGCAGAAGGAGGGTTGGCTTTTTGCTTACCCGCTGAGGATAGCGCACCCTGCGTGCCGAATTTCTGAGGATGTCTCTGGCGAGACGTTTGTGTTGCAGCGATCCTGACCCTGGGAGCGCGGACGCAGTGTAATTGACAAGGGATCCTGGCCCTGGAGGCGCGAACCCAGCGCAATTTGCAAGGGATCGTGGCCCTGGGAGCGCGGACACGAGGCAGCGCGGGGTCGTGGCCCAGGGAGAGCGGACGCAGTGTAACTTACAGGGGATCGTGGCCCCGGGAGCGCGGACGCAGCGTATGTTACGTGGGATCATGGCCCCTGTGGGGGCGGGCACAGTGTAGTTTATTAGGGGCCCCTGGGGGCGCGGACACAGTGCAATTGACGAGGGATCGTGGTCCTCGCAGCGCGAAGCCAGTGTAATTTACTGGGGGCCCTGGCACGGGGGCGTGGATCCTGCGGAATTTTCAAGGGGTCGTTGCCCTGGGAGCGCGAATGTGCTGTGGTTTTCGAGGGGCCGTGGCCTTGAGAGCGTGACTCCCGCGTAATTTACGAGGGATCGCGGCCCTGGGAGCGCGATCGCCGCGTGACTGACGTTGGATCGTTCTCATTGTGCGGCGCGGCACAGCCACTGGCACAGCGTCGTGATCATTGACATCTTCAGCACTGCCACTGCCCATCGCCCAATTGAGGTGCTGGGAAACGTTTCCAGTCCTTGCAGTTCTAAATCCTTTTCCGGGTTCGTGGCTCGATCCTTTCTTTTACGAGGGGCCGTTGCGTTAGGACTGCGGGCCCATAGTTTTTTACAAGGGGTCATGGTTTCGGGAGGGGGGGCAGTGCATGCAACGGTTCGCGGTCGGGGTGGGGGGCCCTCCTTGGAATACAGAAGCCATACCAGACAGACCTTGGCATTCTGCTGGACGCTGAGGCCGCCTGTGAGTTTCAGCAACAGTGCCTCAGGGCCTTGGCCGCCTGCATCAACGAGACCGAGGAGGCTCAGAAGACGTTGGTCAACTCTTTTGTCGCGGCCTGAAGTGTTTGGCCTGACATCGACGAGCGCGTTCCACTACACTCGCAAAGCAACTACTCGCAAATGGCCTGGATCTCCCTTGGGGGATCTACAATCATTTACATCAAAGCAGACAGGTGTTTTTCGGACGTTTGTGAGTAGGCACTTTGCGAGTAGTGGACCGCGCTCGGCGAGGGCAGGAAAACCACACTTTCTGGGGGTTGCGTCCAGGTGCTCTTCCCTGAGTTGTCTCTGAGCCATTCAAGTTCGGATGTGTACACTGTAGTTTCAATGAGTAGTTTTCGATTTTCTCGAGCCATCTTTGACCGGATAGCCAAACCAGATGGTGACATACCGCGCTGATGTCGGACGCGTGGCTTCGCGCTCGCTGCTTTTCGTTGGCCACTCTCGCGAAAATCCTTTTCAGCTGTCTATCCAGCGATGTTTCATTATTTAATAGCTTCACACACTCCGCCGGTCCGTATTGTGCCATCGCAGGCGTTTGCCTGCGCGTTCGTGGCCTCTTGGGGCCTCTTGGGGGCTGGTTGAGGACCTCTTGGAGCCTCTTTTTGGACCTCTTGGGGACCTCGTGGGGCCTCCAGGGGGCCTCCTGGGCTCTCTTGGGGGCCTCCTTGGGGCCTCCTGGGGGCCTCTTGGGGCCGAAGGCTCGACTTGGTGGTTAGTGTTCCCCTCTTTGGCCCCTCTTGGGGCCGTCTTGGGGCCTTCTGGGGCGATCTTGGGCGCCTCTGGGGTCGCTCTGGGGCCGTCTAGGACCGTCTGGGGGCCCTCTTGGGGGCCTCTCGGGCCGTCTTGGGGCGGTCTTGGGGGCCTCGGGGGCCGTCCTGGAGCGTCGGACAGCGGACAAGGCGAGACGGCTGAAGAAACCCTCCAAGAACCCTAGGAAAATCGGCGATTTTTGTCTCGTGGGGGCCTCCTGGGGGGCCTCTGGGAAGCCTCTGGGGCCGTCTTGGTGGCCTCTTGGGCCGTCTGGAGGCCATCTTGGGCGGCTTGGGGCGATGGTTGGGCTTCTCCGGGCCCTCTGGGGGCCGTCTTGGGGCGTTCTTGGGCCCGTGTGGCCGCCTCTTGGGCCGTCTTGGAGCCGTCGTGGGCCATCGTGGGGCCGTCTTGGGAGCCTCTTGGGCTGTGTTGGGGCGGTCTTGGAGGCCTCTTGGGCTCTCCTGGAGCGTGGGAAAGCCGAGAAGGCGAGAAGGCGGAACGCTTGACAAAAACCTGAGGCCTCTTGGGAGCCTTGAGGGGCGTGTTGGGAGCATCGAGGGCCATCGTGAGGCCATCTTGGGCCGCCTCGGGACGCTGTTGGCTTCTGGCCGTTGGGCCTGCCTGCCACCGACTTGTCGACTCCGTGGGCCGCTCCTGGACGCTTCCAGAGGCCCCTGGGCCCGCGCCCAAGAGATCTGGCATCTCTGACGGGGACTTGCCGGGAGTTGCCCGGGGTACTTTTCGCTCCGGGACCCCCTGTGGTCGCCACGCGGGCGCGAACTGGAATACTGTTGACTTGTTACCGGATAGGGGGGCACATGCGAACCCTACCCCTACCCCCCACGATTTCTGAGGGGGAGGGTGGGGTTCACTTCGCTCGGGAGCTCCCGAGCGAAGTGAACCCCACCCTCCCCCTCAGAAATCGTGGGGGGTAGGGGTAGGGTTCGCATGTGCCCCCCTATCCGGAGATCTTGGCACGCCTCCGGCCCATTGGGCTGGTGAGGACGCCACCTGCGCTTGGCAGGTCCGCACGGCGACCAGGATGGTAGGCCGCTTGGCTCAGCGTTGCTGCGCCACGACATAAGAAGATCAGGAGGGAACAAAAACACACAGACACAATTCATCGTCGATTCCCCAGAAAACATGGGGAAATATGGGAAGTGGAGGTGAAGACAGAAACCCAGAAAATATGGGACAATCTGGGGAATCTGGTTATCTGTGTCTATTTATTTGTGTGTTCCCAGTTTCCCTTCAATAAAAGACTCCCTCGCCCCTTCTTGCCGCTTCTGACATGAGTTGGTAAGAAGTACTATCGCTCATGAGTTGGTAGGAAATACTCACGCGGCATTTGGCCGACCATGCGCTAGATTCTTCGTTTGCTTTTCATGGGACCGCTCCAGGATCGGAGCTTGCACGCAGCCCGCTTTGCCTTGCCTTGTCTTGTCTTGCCTTGCCTTGCCTTGCCTTGCCTTACCTCCTCCTGACTACTCCGCATCGTTATTCTTCTCTTCCTCCTCGTCCAATGTACAGAAGATCCTCACCGCCGATCGAACAGCTATCAATTGGTCGAATTCTGCGACTGCCACTTCGGGAGCAAGGTTTGTCAGAGCAGCCCGTTCGGCGGATTCAGGAGGATTCGGCGCAATGAGGGGGGAGAGGCGGGATGGATAGAATGATGGGGTGTCAAAATGTAGCGGTAGTGCACCCAGTTTGCCCTGCCCATCTCCCTGGCGTGTCTGGCGCAGGAGGGGGGAGGCGAGGGTGGGGAGGGGCGGGGCGAGGAGGAGGAGGAGGGGGAGGAGGAGGAGGAGGAGGAGGAGGAGGAGGAGGAGGGGGCCAGAGGAGGGAGTAGGGATAGGGCTGGAGGGGGAGCGGGAAGGAGCGAGGGGGAGGGGGGAGGATTGCTGAGGTGCTGCGCTCGCTCGTCCGTTCGTTGTAGGAGTAAGGATGGAGAGGGCCGGATGGGAAGTAGGAAGGAGCGAGGGGGAGGGGGGAGGATTGGGGAGGGGCTGGAGGGGCTGCGCTCGCTTATCCCTTCTTCGTGGTGCGCTTGCGGCGATCTTGGCTGCACCTGTGCTTGAGCAGCTTGCCTTTGGACACGCTCCTGCTCGATCGGAGTTCGCGTGGCGCCTTCGATCTGCTCAGCAGCCCAGATGACACTGTCGTGGAGCACGCCGTCTATGCTCGAAGCTTGGCCTCCCGAAGGAAGGACCC